TTTCAAAACCGAAGCTGAATGCAAGCCGCTGCCGTCAAAACTGTGCGTGATCTAGCGTTGGAAACCACATCGGCGTGTCGGCTGATTCGTTCTGTCTCTAATTCACTCTTATGATGACGGCGTTTTAAAAAAAACGTCGCTCGCAAATAGGCCTGGACTAAGGGGTTGCATCACGGCATTTTCGCCGCGGCGGCGGCAAGTTATTGCCCCGACTCCCGGCGCACGTCCTAGGCGTTAACGGTTAATGTGGGCGTTCGCGCGGCGGGCTTTCGACTTTGTTCATTTAGCGACGCTTCATATTAAAGAACGAGCACCCGGGCGTGTTTCTTGTCTGTACGGCGGTGGGCCGGCGGGCGGGTCGTTCGCGTGGCCGATCCCGGCCCAGGCATCGCGGTCGGCGGCGCGCTGTGCCTTGCGGTCGCCGTGCGCGGACAGGCACGGCTTTTGTTTCCCACCATTCGGAATTAACGCGGAGTTTCTGCAACGCAACGTTGCGCTGCAAATTGCACAAGAAATTGCAAGATGCCAAGTTTTAATAATCAAAATGGTACGGCCACACCTATCACACGGCACGACACCACAGATGGGTTTTGCTCTCTTCCACGGATTTGCACTTTTTGTGCCACATTTCGGCACCTACTAACACACCCGGGATTGCCGCGCTTCAATGATGAATGGAGGGAGCGAGATGACAATGTTTGGTGGCACGTGCCACATGTCATGGCGCCCATATGTTAAACCATGGATTTACACAACTTTGTTTTTTGAGGGGCTTGCACGTTTTCGTGATATCTCAGAAACCAGGGAGTAATGCACACAGGGACTGGCATGCTTCAGTAGGTGATTTAACGGGCAATCGCTGAAACGTGTGCGATGGCATGCTGCACGTGTCATGTGACACGTGCACATTAGCTGTGAAGCTGTATTTTGCCGATTTAGTCCATTTCTACGTTTTACGCGGGATTTCCGCTCTTATGGCACGTAGTGACACGACAGGAGACTGGCATGCTACGATAGACCATTGAACGGGAAATCCTACGGTCACATGTGCCACAGGTGCGGGGTGGCACGTTACACGTGTCGGCCACACACAAGCCAGGAAGATGGCTTTTGCTCTTTTCCGCGGGTTTACACGCTTTGTGCCACATCTCGGCACGCAGAGTGCGGAGCGACTGGGGAGTGGCGTGCATGAATAATAAAACGAACAGACGAAGACGTCGCATGATTTTCATGCCCCACATACTGCGTGTAACTCGTCCACGAGCCGGCGAGATAGATTTCGCCGTTACCGGCCGTTTTTCACTCTTCGATGCAATGCAATGCTGTTTAATACAACGGCAGTACGTGCTGCCATTATTCCAAAGGCTGACAGTTGATGGAAGGGGCAAATATCACCGGTCACACCCAAGACCATTCGCTCATCCCATGGAATATGTTCGGCTGTGTTGCAGGGAACGCGGCGAAATGCGCTCTCTGCTGCCAGCGGCCGCCAGAGACCGCCAGTACTGTGTGCGGCCTGCAACCAAGTCTCTTTCACACTTTGCGCAATATTTTGGCAACCAGGGCACCTAGGACCGTGATTCCAACTGCAAAATATACACAATGAAAATTTTCATATTTTGCATTAGCGCAGCGAAGCAAACGCGCAAGCGCTTGTTAATTATGCGACGTTACTGAGACCTATCCACATGATCACTGGGCGGGAGGCATTCTCCAGATTGACTGAGGGCGTTCAAATTTGTCAGTCCAGTGATTACAATTAAAAGGATATCACGAGGTTGCGCCTGCTTTTCAGTGCCTCTCCGAATGCAAAATTTTATTTGCATTCTTTGGCTTAATAACTACGTGTTTAACGTTCCTTCGACCTTCGTCCTTAGCCTTGCACGATAAAGCTTCTATTTCAAATGAAGACAGCTAAAGCCAGGTTCGGTCCGCAGGTGCGAAGGGGAATTTATCCCCGCAAGGCTTTCAGAGCTTAGCGACAAAATTGTGGACGCGTTTCACGAAATTTTTAGTACCTTCGTTTTTGTCTTCTTACACCCTTTGTGGAAATTTTCCTGTCTGCGGCTGTGCCCGAGGTGGAACTACAAACAAATTGTAACCATCATAACTTGTTAAGAGATATGCGGCACGGACTCTGAGGACGCTTATAAAAGTGCGCTATGGTGTGTTACATGCATATGACATGGCTATGATCAAATCAACTTAGAATTCCCCCTAAACGAATGTGTCTATTTCCTGATCCCAACCTCACCCAGACCCAGTGTGATTTGTCATAACCCCGATGACTTAATTATTGTTCCAAGTTAAAACAGGCTGCGCCCACTCTGCTCCCAATTATGCGTTCTCTTCGCTGGTATTTTAGTTATTCTGCGCCGGGGGCCCGGTCCAGTCGGCCGGGCGAAACATTTTGAGGACCAGCTGCCTGAGCTAACTGAAAATCCCTTCTGAGTTCCGAGATTCGGCCGCTGTTGAAATCCGACGAACTAGACTTTGACCCGTGATGAAATTATATTTCCATTAAAGCTGTTGCTCAAGCAGTTTCCTGTATCGCTTTCGAGTCTCGTGGTTGTAGCATTTGTGTCTACGGAGATACCGACCCCCGGGCGCTAGGATGGCACCCCGGGCTCGCCCGGCTCGCGGCATCTGTATCCCGTCCACATGATCATGGGGACTGATGTCAAACTTACATGCGTGAACAGGCTTGTATTTTTATATCAGGTAATCATGGATTGTGTGATGTCAAACTTACATGCTCGAACAGGCTTGTGTTTTTATATCAGGCAATCATGGACAAGTCCGGCATTTCTACCACCTTACAGGTCAAGTCGTATTGACTAATTCCTGGGATTCTTTTACTGTCCTGATGTTCGCTCTCCTCTGTCATTCAAAAACAGACTCCTTTGAGGAAATCCCGTGGCTAATCAGCTATCCGATCCTGATGATGAAGATCATCCTGTCGGAATGCCTCACTCTCTGCAGGCACACGCTCAAGTGGTAGGCTTAAATTATAGGACCTACCTCAAACGAGCAAGCCTGGTCACATGTTTTTATCGAAACATCGGTATGGATATGAAATGTTTGCTACACTTGGTGCAGTATTTGTTCATGTATGTGTCGTGAGGCCTTTCGACAGTAGATTCCTTTGGTCATCAGTCAGCTGTGTCTTTGTTTCGTTTTGCACAAAGTGGAACAAAAAGATGTGGTATTGTGCATACAGTTTTTGTAGTGTGCACGAATGCACGCTCTGCAATTGTCACACCGTCATAATGATTAAGCTCGGCCTACCTACAAATGAGGCGCACTAAATCCCATCTGGCTGAGGGTCAGCCGCCATGCATAACCGACTGCCGGATCATACCCCTCCCCCCCCCCTCTCTAACTTAGGAACGGCTGGTCGCGGTGTGAAAATGAGAGCGATGGTGAAAGTCTCACACTTAGAAGTACTCAAAACATGCCATATCAATTTTTTGACCTTCAACCATTAAATGGAATTGTGCTTCGCAGCAGAATTGTGCCTAGAAAGCGCATACTCCTCTAGCTCTGGCCGAATTGGCAAAAGCTGACTTAAGTATGTATCATGTCTCTTAGTCGATGAGCTATGCTTTCTGTATAATTATCGTTCAAAACGGGTTCTTAATCAGTCGTTTTCCTTCCGAATTCCGAGAATGGCCGTGAAAAATTGAGTGAATAATTTTCGGCGGGCATTAAATCACTTGACCTGACTTAAGGCCATGATCTTACCTACGATAAGCTCGGAAATACTGCAGACGTGTCAAAGCGACCAAGACCAGGCCACTGAAGATCTTACTGCACGTGTCTTTATTTTCTCGCTTCTCTGGCAAAACCCTTAACCTTAGTGGATAATAGATATCCTTCCTCCACTCCGGTAATGGTAAGGAATCCGTCCTTACTCCATAGCGGCAACAACGTAGCATAGCTTTTCGTCTTGATTTCTTAGTGTCGTAACCTTTTGCTCAACTTATCTAATGAGCCCCTCTGTCATCGATTTTTTCCCCGTCTTTAAGCTCCTAGACTTTCCGTCCCTAGTCGCTCAGAAGTTGCGGC